CCCCCCCCCCCCCCCCCAACTGGGTGTCATAACCGTTGTTCTAGACTTGAGCTAAGTAATTTCGATCACCATCGTATATAATTATCAAAGAAATGAATAAGGTTATTGGAAGATTATAGGCTGGGAGAATGATAAAGCAAACACTGTTTAACAAATGTACTTTAAAAAAGCAACAAAAATATTTGATACTAAAATGGCACAGTATAATCAATCAATGAACCTAGATTAGAAAGTTGAGGTCTACCGACTTACTCATTTCTATTTGGTCCCACATTAAGTATATAATACGCATATTTAGAGCTGAATTTTTGGGTGCAAAATAAAGGATTGAAAAGTGAATAAAAAAATCAGATTTAAAAAAGTTGTTAGAACTGTTTGGAGTATTTTAAAAAAAATCGATTTTTCCTTATAAGCCCTTAAATAAGTCCTATTTTTTAACTTTTTGTTGTTTCTATCCAAAAAAATAATGAAAAAGTCACCAAATAAATTTGAGTGTAAACAGATCAAACTTCTTTTCCTCTTAAAACAAAAAAAGCTGAGATTTTTAGTCCCAAACAAGTACTCACACATAAAAATAAATTTTAAAAACCCCAAAAAATATATGTAATATCAAAGGGTAACTGATAACTTCAAGGTCAAATATAAGGTCACAAATCACAATCACGTATTAAAATAAGAAACAATCATTTAAATAGAAAATATAAAAATAATGGAATTCAGAGTTCAGACCTTGGATAGGTTTCACCCAGATAGACTTCTAAGTAACAAAATAGGAGGCCATTGCATCTCTTAGTGTTTGAAGAATCAAAGAGAGGATAAAACAAACAGAGATTGACATGAAGAGGAGAAGAGAGATGGAGAAGAGCTCAGAGATGAGGTCCGCCATTGAAGAGCTGTCTATGATGGTGGTGGTCAAAGTTGGTGGTGATGATCATCACAGTGCAGCCTATATCCCCACCAACCCTTTCCTGTCCGTCTGCAACTTGGTCATTCAAGTTCTTGGTTGGTCTCTCTCTCTCTCTCTCTCTCTCTCTCCTAATTATATGATTTTGGTATNTCACGTATTAAAATAAGAAACAATCATTTAAATAGAAAATATAAAAATAATGGAATTCAGAGTTCAGACCTTGGATAGGTTTCACCCAGATAGACTTCTAAGTAACAAAATAGGAGGCCATTGCATCTCTTAGTGTTTGAAGAATCAAAGAGAGGATAAAACAAACAGAGATTGACATGAAGAGGAGAAGAGAGATGGAGAAGAGCTCAGAGATAAGGTCCGCCATTGAAGAGCTGTCTATGATGGTGGTGGTCAAAGTTGGTGGTGATGATCATCACAGTGCAGCCTATATGCCCACCAACCCTTTCCTGTCCGTCTGCAACTTTGTCATTCAAGTTCTTGGTTGGTCTCTCTCTCTCTCTCTCTCCTAATTATATGATTTTGGTATCCATTATTGTTCTGTGATAAACGTATTGCCACTTATGTCATTGAGATTCATCACTAGATCTAGATTCATCATTAAATCTGCAGCACAGTCGAACAACTAGCCTTTTGCATTTTGTCTTCTGCAAATGGTGGGCTAATAATTGACGCGAACCTTTAAATAACACGACTACATGAGTACGCTCGGCTCGACATGATTGTCATTCCTNGCCATTGAAGAGCTGTCTATGATGGTGGTGGTCAAAGTTGGTGGTGATGATCATCACAGTGCAGCCTATATCCCCACCAACCCTTTCCTGTCCGTCTGCAACTTGGTCATTCAAGTTCTTGGTTGGTCTCTCTCTCTCTCTCTCTCTCTCTCTCCTAATTATATGATTTTGGTATCCATTATTGTTCTGTGATAAACGTATTGCCACTTATGTCATTGAGATTCATCACTAGATCTAGATTCATCATTAAATCTGCAGCACAGTCGAACAACTAGCCTTTTGCATTTTGTCTTCTGCAAATGGTGGGCTAGTAATTGACGCGAACCTTTAAATAACACGACTACATGAGTGCGCTCGGCTCGACATGATTGTCATTCCTACATAAGGCTAGAGTACATTTGTGGTACGAAAAACAGTATGAACCATTAGTTTTAAATTGAATAATTAACAATTAGGAAAAATTACATCTAATTTTTTGAAGTTTGTCATTTAATTACACAAATATTTAAAATATTATATACATACTTATAAAGTTTGTATGAGTGTAACACATAGACCTGTGTCGTCTTCGTTAGAATATCTGTTAATAAATTACATATAAATTCNTGCATTTTGTCTTCTGCAAATGGTGGGCTAGTAATTGACGCGAACCTTTAAATAACACGACTACATGAGTGCGCTCGGCTCGACATGATTGTCATTCTTACATAAGGCTAGAGTACATTTGTGGTACGAAAAACAGTATGAACCATTAGTTTTAAATTGAATAATTAACAATTAGGAAAAATTACATCTAATTTTTTAAAGTTTGTCATTTAATTACACAAATATTTAAAATATTACATACATACTTATAAAGTTTGTATGAGTGTAACACATAAACCTGTGTCGTCTTCGTTAGAATATCTGTTAATAAATTATATATAAATCCCTAAAATTTAAAATGTGTAATACTTAGACCCTTCAAATTTAAAATATTATACTTAAAAAAAATAGTCAAATTAAAGACGAAATATCAAATATTTTAAATTTTATAATCAAAATTCATGTTTTATTATGTCTATTAAAAATAAAATTTTAATTTTTAAAAAAAAAAACGTAATTAGTACTGTTGATGCTACAATTTAGATGACATTCATGTCAGCTTGTTAGACTTTGATTTCCTGAAAAAGAAGTCGAAGATCGGAGAAAAACTTCAGGGGTTGACTCTCTGATGTCTTAGTCAATAAATGACTTAAAGGTATGAGCNTAATAAATTATATATAAATCCCTAAAATTTAAAATGTGTAATACTTAGACCCTTCAAATTTAAAATATTATACTTAAAAAAAATAGTCAAATTAAAGACGAAATATCAAATATTTTAAATTTTATAATCAAAATTCATGTTTTATTATGTCTATTAAAAATAAAATTTTAATTTTTTTTTAAAAAAACGTAATTAGTACTGTTGATGCTACAATTTAGATGACATTCATGTCAGCTTGTTAAACTTTGATTTTCTGAAAAAGAAGTCGAAGACCGGAGGAAAACTTAAGGGGTTGACTCTCTGATGTCTTAGTCAATAAATGACTTAAAGGTATGAGCTACGTTTAGAAGCTAAGGGTGACATACCTAAAACATTTTGAACTAAATAAAATTTTTCACCTTAGGTCAATTTTCCCATCATCAAGTATGAACATATAAAAAAAGTCTAATCAACACATTTACATATTCCATCATCTCATCCATCAACATAAAACACAAAAAAAATAGTAATCAGTATAAAATATAAAAGAACTCAATTCTATATTCAGTTGCATACAATTATACTATCTATTGGAATAAAACTAAAAAATCAAATAAGGGGTCAAATTGTTATGAAGACAATATCCTCTATTTTTAATTGAGATAATTTGGTCATTTAATAAATTCTGTTAATTTCGTAACTAATAAGGGGTATAAGTATAATATTTTAAACTTAAGAGATCAAAGTGTTATATGCTTACAAACTTAATGGAGTCTAGTTGTAATTTATTAATGAATATATTAGCTGNATGAAGACAATATCCTCTATTTTTAATTGAGATAATTTGGTCATTTAATAAATTCTCTTAATTTCGTAAATAATAAGGGGTATAAATATAATATTTTAAACTTAAGAGATCTAAGTGTTATATGCTTACAAACTTAATGGAGTCTAGTTGTAATTTATTAATGAATATATTAGCTGGTGGAGGTTTAAGTGTTATATGTGTACAAATTTAAGGGAGTCTAAGTAATTAAGCGACAAATTTTAGGGATTTAATTGTAATTTTCCTTAACAATTATTGATTTAAAAAAATTAAAAAAAAATGCACACGTGACCCATTTTCATTAGCCAAAAAATGAAGGTACAGGATATATCTAGAACAGCTTAGGTTTTGCACATTCCAATTCCTGTGGCTGAGGCTTTATTGTCCTCTATTATTTTGCAGATAAGATAGNAAGTAATTAAGCGACAAATTTTAGGGATTTAATTGTAATTTTCCTTAACAATTATTTATTTAAAAAAATTAAAAAAAAAATGCACACGTGACCCATTTTCATTAGCCAAAAAATGAATGTACAGGATATATCTAGAACAGCTTAGGTTTTGCACATTTCAATTCCTGTGGCTGAGGCTTTATTGTCCTCTATTATTTTGCAGATAAGATAGGGCCAACACTTGCTGTGCTGAGACAAGACATGAATCAAAACATCCAGGTACATAAGATAAGAGAAAGACTATATGATACTGGATTATCAGAAAAATTGAGTTATAACTTAATCGGTTTAAATCATAATTTTTAATAATATATCAAATAATAATAACATTCAATACCAAAAAATTTGTAGGCAAGGATGTTGGTTTGAAAGTCANTCCAGGTACATAAGATAAGAGAAAGACTATATGATACTGGATTATCAGAAAATTTGAGTTATAACTTAATCGGTTTAAATCATAATTTTTAATAATATATCAAATAATAATAACATTCAATACCAAAAAATTTGATCACTACAAGATGTTGGTTTGAAAGTTAGAGAATTTTTTGCTCAAGAGAAATAAAAGGCTTAGGATTCATTTTCTTTATAAATGATACAAAAAAAATAAAAATAAAAAAAAGAAAGTGATTTTTTAACTCTCTCGGGTAAATATAGCGGGTCGTTTGGTCGGGCTGGTGAGTTGAGCGCAGCTAAGGCCCAGCCTAGAACGATTGAGCCCGCCCATGTGCCATTGGGCCACAACACTAACGGCCCAAACCAGCACAACTTAACATGTATAAAAATTTTTGGCCAAAATGACTGGTTCTTAAAACTATTTCTTAAATCCTAATTCATGCACTTGTAAAAAATCGTGATTACCAAACACAATTTTAGAAAGAAGTTTCATGATTTTTGGATATTTGAAAAGTCGTGGTTGCTAAATGCCACTTTGGCTCAAAATCATGTGTTGGGTGATCACAATTTTCAAGAAGTACATGGTTTTGAAAACAAGTTCAAAAAAACTCGATTTGGATAATAAGTTTAAAACTATCCATCCCTCGTTAGGGAAAGAACTTGACTTTGAAGCATATTCATCGAACTCTACCTGAAATGTTAAATCCATTTCAATGTTTTTGAATCTAGAGATTGGAGAAGCTACTTGAATCTGATCCCATACTATACTCAAATGTGGTTGAGATGTTGAAGAAAGAAGCCAGTGAAGGCAATGCAAGAAAAATTACCAGCTGTAGCAGAGCTATTGTCTGGCTTACCAGGTAAACCATTGTATCTTTACTTGAAGATCATTAAAAATCACTGTTTTCGAACACAGGTATCATCTAACATATTCACAGTTGAAATAAGCTCCATATCTGTATGGTACTATGGTCTCATTTGTCACTTGTGCTCTTCAATTTTCAGTGTCAAAAGTATTACATGAAACCAAATTCAGATCCAGAGATTTGATCTAACTAAATGTTGTTTAGCATTTTTTTGCGCTGTGGTCCTTGCTCGGATTAAGACTTCGATTTGTTTCACTCTACAGATCCATGGACTTGACAGTAGCTTTGTTGCAATTACTAATGAAGGATTTTGAGATAAACATGCAACAAGCAGTGCAAGAATCGTATAACATCACTCTAAAACCATGGCATGGATGGATCTCTTCCACTGCTTACCGAGTAATACTACAATTCTCCATTCTGCCTTCTCCTGGTTAAGCTTAACCATTGGGTTGTTGACTGGTGCTAATGCTCTGGACTTCACAAGTGAAATATTTCCACCTTATTAGATTTTGTCAATTTTTTCTCAAATATCATAGCATAGAAATGAATCTCTCTTACCTTCAATGTCCTCACAGTCTTCTTCAACTAATATATTATTTACCTTGGCAGGTAGCTCTTAAACTAGTACCCGATAACAAAACTTTAATATCTATCCTCATGGCCAAAGATGAAGACTGTGAGACACTTAAAAAGGAAATGCACACCTTAACTTCATTACTTAAACCTCTTCTGGAAGATATCCACTCTATTCTGGTGAGCTCCCTATTCCTGTTAGTCTTTATTTGATCACGAAATAGATTCATTTGACAGGCTTTCTTATATGTCATTACATATTCTATATATGTTTCTTTTTTTGCAGAGAACATATGGCTTGGATAGGTTTAAATCTGCCTGAAGGGAGAGTATCTAAAAGACAAACAATTGTACAAAGTTAAATTTTGTGTAGAGTTCTGTATAACACCATTTTCTTCTAGTACATATTAGTAAATGAATGATTCCACTTGTTTATGTATATAAGAAACAACTTGTTCTGGATATGGGAAACTGCATCTGTTTTGTTGAGAAATCATTGTAAATTTTGTAGATGAAACAGAGATCTGTTGTGTTTACATTATGTTTACGCCCCTAGCTATCCTTTTTGGTTTCAACGAACTCCACTGATGGTTTATATCAGTGAATACCTTGCATTGATCCCTTGTTTCAACATAGCCCAAGTTTTATATCCCTTCTTTCAAAATTAAAGAGTTTTGCTCTCGATATTACACGGTCTAAATACATATGGAGCCCTTGTGGCATAAATTGAAAAAGTAAAGTACATGCCTCTCCATGTCATGAACCTAAATTAATCCTTTCTTGTGATCAATTGGAGAGGAGATACATAAAGGATGATTAACAGCGACAATTATTCTCAAGGGCAGCCTCTTCTACGTCGAGAACATATGAGCCAAAATTTTTTTTAAGCAATATGGCCTTTTCTTTCTTAAGTAAGTTAGTGGTGGACTTTGGAAGTATCAAGGAGCTGAAGGAACTAGGTTGATATTTTTGAAAATACCCATCTCGTCTATGCCTAAATTGATGCCATCAGAATTGGAAGAATTGCGAGGAGGATCATGAAGTGCAATGAGGGCTGCAACTAGACCAGCATTGCTCGCTATGCTTGGCTCCGTGAACCATGGTTTGTCCCTCTCATCTAAGAAAATGTCATTTCGATCAGGCCCTGCTACCATGGCTCCCAAAAGATCATTTGGATTTGGTTTCTTCGAATTCTTCCATTTATCTCCTTCTGTGCATGAGTGCTTGTGGCCATCCCATGGGATCGATGCAGCCCTGTGGTCAACATGGGTGGGATAAGTGTCTCCAAATCCCACCACATAGCTCATCTTCATCGGATTATCTCCAAGTATGTAATTAATCTGAAAATAGTAAAAAAAAAAAAAAAATAGCTTTATTAATGTTTCCTCGGATGCTATTGTAGTCTTTAAGGAAAACTGAAATATACTTGTTTTCCAGTAAAAATTTAGAATTCTGTTGAAGTTAAGGTTTATTTTTTACCAAATCTCTCAAATCTTTTTTTTTTTTTTTTCACTTTGGAACCATACCATTAAATCTAATTCTATCTTTCAGATGCTTATAAACATTCTCCAAGTTTGTTGGCAAAGTGTACTTGCCTGAGAAGTGGAGAAAATCCGCATCATTTCAACAGTAACAACGCCAGTATTACAACTACTACCAGATCTACGCAACAGATATAGGTAATCACTATACAATTTGCTAAGAAAAGATGCTGTCACAGCATACTGGAGTGGTGCACCAGAGTCAGGCTTTAAGAGGATCAATCCACCTGTCCATCAGCAAAAAAACAGTAAATGCCGTCGCCTAGGATCATCCAATGTCCAATAAAATTCTACCACAAAAATCACAATTAAGCATACATTAATATTTACTCCTAGTCGATTAATATGCACAACATTCATATGCCACACATTTAGATAACTGAACTTTACCTTCTGTTCTGTTGAAGAATGTATTAGAGAGATATGTACACATGAGCAAGTCGGTCCTATCGGTTGATGATCCAAAAGCAACTTCATAAGGGTACCCAAGGTCGCGGAAGAATCTAAGTCGTGAAAGCAAAACCTACCACACAACTAAGAACTCATTCAATACGGTTATGCAGAAACTTCAACATCTAGAACTCCAATAAATAATTATTCAAAATTACCGCGCTAGCAGTGAGCTTGTTGTTCCAGTAAAATATTCCTTTCTCAACAGATAATTCTTCCTTCTCTGCTGAAGTAAAATTATTAGTTGCAAATTCGAGATATGTAAAGTTTCCGGTAGCAAAGAACAACCAAGTTCCTCCCCAAACCAATTCATCTTTGTAACCAGATGAGTTATAAAATTGCCTTGCCTGCCCTCCACAATCATCGTTCATGGTGTACATTCCTTGCTTATGATCAGGGCCTTCCTTAGTCGCTAGCTCATATAATTTCTCTGCTGCTTTAATCAATTTTCCTAAGTAATCCTTGTCCTCTTTGAGTACCATTGATGCAGCAGACAATGCAGCCATGATTTCTCCAGCTAGGTCTGAAGCCGTGCTGTCACAAACTGAAACAGGCCTCGGATAGTTCATGTCTTCTGGTCTTTGCCAACAGTTTATATCATTAATAGTTTCATTCCCAGTACTCCCGACCTAAAATCAAAAAAAGAAACATTTTTAATAAAATCACTATTATATGGCTGTTTGGAAGGGATATTATACAGAATACTTAAAAAAGTTACCTGTGAATACAGTAAGGTATGATCAGAAGTTGTATTAGGAGGAATAAAGAGTTTGAGCAAGTAGTCACTGCCCTCTTTGATAATATCCTTAACATGGTCAAGCTCACCTATAGCAGCATATTTCTGATGATATTCGATCACGGTCCAACTCAAGAGGGTAATTGTATAAGCTGAAGGGAAGCTGAACTTTATGTTGTTGCCAGAATCATAAAAACCTCCCACAAGATCAGCATTAGTATTGGTCGTTTTCCCATCTTGTAAACCCGAATCTCCACGAAATATTACTGAACTATTCTTTGGAAAAGGTCCCGCTGCACAAAAGGTTTTCTTGATCATGAACACAATATAACCTTAATTCCAACAAGAAAAAAATGGACTTAGCTAATGGAAAATAATATCTTACACTTTTGAGCATCGAAGAACGCGAGAGCTCGATTCAGGGCTAGTGTTAGATTCTTGGAAGAGCCATGGTGGTGATTCTTGTGTGGCAAAAAATGTATCAACAGAACCAGCAAGGGAATTATAATGAGAACGGTGGCTGAGATATAAGCAAAACGCTTGAAGTACTTCTTATCTGTTATGGTAAGATTGAAATCAACTGATTTGGAGAATCTGGAGGGGAGTGAATCGAATCCAGTGTTAGAGTGAGGGAAGAGGTTGAAATCAAGCTCTATTGAGTTCCAACGACTAGAAGATGGGAGAAGCCGACCGGCCCCAGAAATCGTATGAACATATCTCACAGAGTGCATGGATGGATCAGAGGCAGAAGTGAAAGCTGGAGAGCCCATGGAGGCTCTGGATTCAGGCATAGTTGATGAAGATAGTTTACAAAAAACAAATGAAATAGTGTCATTAGTTATGAAATAGTCATTCACTGGTTAACTAGAGACACTTCCAATGCATGATATCAATTTTTTGAACTGCCAAAAATGCCCCCCTGATGTTTCAATTTTAGGCAGACCATCATATAAAACTCGTGCAAGCAACCCAATAGCTCTCAACGAATATATATATATATATATATAGAGAGAGAGAGAGAGAGAGAGAGAGAATGACTAGGAGTTGGAGTTTGACACACATTGAAAAAATGGTAAGTCTTTAAAAACACCAATGACAAAGATCAAAAATCTAAGTGTATAAAAAGTATGTTTTTTAACTTGACAACAAAAGAAGAAAAATAATTGTAATAAGTATTTATGGGTTGAAGGGAAACTAGGCAAAATTTACAGATCAAGCAGGGTAAAATTGGAAGAACATGAAGGAGAATACACCAAAAGGTAACTGTCATACCGGTCATTCCTATGCATATTTTTTTCTCTCCCCTATATGGTAGGTGGAGAGAGACGGAGCAGCTTATGAGCCCAGCTACTGGGGGATTGGATTGAAATGCCGTAATGATATCAACAATATCAAGATCCCACGTTGGTATTCTGGTCAAATATTTTAGAGTTTTATATATAGTGAATTCAATTCTTCGTAGAGTTTATTTGATGCACACTATAACTTAGAGATAAAGCTTGATGAGATTATGTAGTTTAGGAGGTTTAAATTTATTTATGATTAACAGATTTTTGTACAAATTTATCAAACTTGAGTATTCTTAGCAGAATTAGATCAATTTAAAATCCGCTACATAAATAATTTATATGCCGATTGAGTCAAATTTAATATAACACAGACTTACATAAATTACCTAAATAGAAAAAAATGAAAAATGACCTCTTGTTATTGCTTAGGGAAGGGATTACGAGAGTTAAGAGAAAATATAAACCGTCAACATAATTGATTAGTCAAAATATATAAAAAAGTAAAACACAATTTAGTCCTCAAAATATACGTGTAGTGTCTATTTAGTCCTTAAACTTTCAATTGTGTCTATTTGATAAATAAATTTTTTAATTTTTATTTACGTGGTTTAATTCCAAACATCCGTCAAAAAATCGTGATGATTCTAATAATGAGCCAATTAATATAGCAAAAAATATATCTTTTTATGGCTAAATTATCATTTTTTAAAATATAAGTTATAACTTAATTCTAAATAGCCGTCAAATATTGGAATGATAAATCATTTCATTTCCAAATTTATTTCATTTCTACTAAAAAACATTACCGCATACCAAACACAGTGTAAAAAATCATAGAAGTTATGACTTTTTAAAAATCAAATTACATTGGAGAAGTTATAACTGATTGACGAACATCGACATGGACTTCCTGCAATCAATTGTTATATTTTAAAGGTGTAACCTTGCCCTTAAAAATAGTAAACGATCATATAATGTATCTTCACCAATCATAGAAGTAGTAATCTTGTGTGTTCACTTGCTTCCAGCTAAGTGTTTTTGCTGCCCTTTTGTTCTGTGCATGGGGTTTAATGCTTAGTAATCAGATTCACTCCGCAAGTCATTCTCTCTCATTCCGTCTCTTTCATTTGTGATCTGATTTACTTGCCTCTCTGAATGATCTCCACCTTTGTATGCTGATTTTTTTTAAAAAAAAATTGGACTAAAATCTCTTGATCTCAATGACAAATCTCTACAAAATTCCATCTGGGTATGCTTCATTGCTTCGTAAGAGTCAAAATTTTGATGGTACCATGAAATTCTCTCTGTAAATTTCCATCTGGGTATGGTTGATTCCCTTCCCTTTCTCAACCCCCAAACGGTATCCAATCTATGAAGTTAAGCAATTCATTTGAGTCAGGTAGTCCCAAGTCTTTCCAGGCATACCCAAGGGGTAATTTTGATCTAGAATCTGGAACAATCCAAAGAGCCAGGAAACCAAAAAAAAAAAATAACCCTCAATCCTATCAAAATGATCAAAACTGTATTCAACACTATTCCAACCTACACCCCCATTTTGATTTTCTTTATTTGATATGGGTTCCGATACATACCCTGTTTCTGAAGCTTCGGAATCATGTAATGGTTGCTGGGCATTCTGTAATACACTAGTTAGTTGTGAAAGAGTTGATAATGAGAATGCTTGGTTTTTGGGGTCTTATCAGAAACATCAAGGCAATCTGCTACGTTTGTGACACACACAGAGGAAGGAGTTGAGGCTGCAGAGATGACGAGGATTTGCTCTTGTTTACCGGTGCTGAGAACTCGGAGAGATGGAGGTCCTAGAAGCGAGGCACAGAGTTATTGGATTAATGTTGCTGAATCAAAAGGATGGTTTGGTGAGTTCCTCTTTCTTACTTCTTATAACCCAATTTATGGCTTCAATTTATGGAGATTAATTTCAATTCTTTGGACTTTTTTGTTTCGAGGATTGTTTAGAAATACTAGAAATCAGAATCAATTTGTGTACTCTCTCTCTGCACACACACACACATTCGTCAAATATAGAATTGTTAAATGCGACGGTTAGCAGGTGAACAAACAAAGATCTGCAAGCTTTCTGACTTGTAAAGTGAAACGGTAATTCAAAACAAAATGGAGAGCCTCGGAGTTCAAATGGTGATATGAGACATTAACCCGATTATTTCTCTGTAAGTGTTTAGGTCCGACCTTTCATCTTTTGAATCACTGAAGTCTTTTTTCACCTTGAAGCATCTACCATCTAGATCATGCTAGCCCTTCCTGCCTAGTTAATGTAATTACTGGTCTTTGCAGTACCAGAATAAACCATCTTAAATGACTTTCTCTTCTTTATCCTTGTTCTCTTAGTTCTAATGGTTGTATTCTTCTATCTCATATCATCTTGTCTGTTTGATTTTGTAGCTATCTCATTACATTTACTAACAATTACAAGAGAATTTTCTGAGAAAAACATGCAAAGAAACATATGCTCACGCTAAAATGCTTTGATAACCTTTTCCTGAAGTATTAAAGCCAACTTCTGTGTTCCATGGAAATGCAGGTCGTTGGTTATGATTTCATGGAGCAGAGGTTTGAACATCTGTACCGCACTGCTACTAGTTTTCGGAGACCAGGTAGAGGGACACTTAGGGTAAGTATTGGATGATGTGGTGATTTTTGTCAACACAAGAAGGCAACCCCATGACATTTGTGACAATGGAAAAAATGAACACAATCATAGGAACTTCCTTTTGAAAATACTCATTTTCCCATTCGTGTTCACCACTGAACAAAGACAATTCTTAGGAATTTAGGAGACTGTTAATTAGTTTATTTAATATAGACTAGCAAACCATATAATCATTCTTTGTCCCTTGCTGAAACACATTGGTCACAATTCTTCAAGATTGAATTGCTTTATATATGCTCTGTAAATTGCTTTCTCCATGCTACCCTGTGTTCTTCAAGAAAGGGCAGCTTGAAGACAACTCGTTTGTATAATTATTGGAGCTACCACCCTTCATGAGACCTCCAAGCAGTTCTCCCCGATCAAAAAAGAACTCCACCTTGACGACCTTTGATTGTTCGTCCAACTGTTTCACCGCATAATATCATCAGTAGTGGGTACATATACATTTATGTGTGTGTGTGTGTGTGGGTGGGTGCGTGCGTGCGTGTGTGGAGGGGGGTACCTCAAAGACAGCCATCCCATATAATTCTACCATTTCTCCAGTTGGGTCATGCCCTCTAAAAGGACCCTCCATGAACCCCCAGTGCCTGAACTTGTATACAATCACAGGTGGCCCTGAATAAACTTGGAGAACCTCTAGAGCAAATCCCCGGGGAAAGGCTGTCGTGAACGCTCGATGAGCTGAATCCACGGTTTCCTCCTCTGGGTTGTAACATCGGAACTTCTCCGGCAAAGAAGTTTGCAGGAACCAATTGTAGCCTCCCCCAAGCTTTCTCTTCTCTTCCAATGTTACACCTTTCCTTCCTGTAAATCAGAACAGATCACTCACAAGTCACAACCAATCCCAGTTAGGTGGAAGGCAAAATGAATTTAAGTTCAATAAATAGAAGAGAGTTTTGACAATACCGTTGAGGCTCACTCTGTACTTGTTTGGATCAACTGTTGTGTAATCATCAAAATTAACCTTGTGGAACATCTCCATTTCCCATGTCTTAATAAGGTTCTGTACTGTTTCTTCCAGTGAACCAGCAGGCCATATCTTCCATAAAAGGACTAGTTCGTTAGATGGAAAAAACTTTTTTGAATAAAAGTATTAAAGCCAGAGACGGAGCCAGAATTTTCCAAATTCTAAATTGATGGGGGTTATAATCAGAGAGGAGCCATTGTCCACACACACACACACACACACTCTGTGAGAGAGAGAGGGGTACCTTTGTTCTACCTTCTTCAAAGAGCTTGTTGACAACATCATAATTAGGAGGAGCACCAAACCTCCACTGGATGTTGTTCACCTCCTGTTCATTCAAGGAGGGCCTGTACTTATCTCCTTCAGTAGCTGAAGATGCCATTTTCTGGGCAGGCAAAAGCTTGGGTAGCAGGGATAACTTGAAATTGTTTTTAATAGAACCAATACTCGTTATCACCCACCCAACGGGGAACTAGCTCTCACCTACCCCAATGAGGAATAATCATTGATTATATTGCTAGTCAACATAGGGCGGCCCGGCCCAGCCCAGCCCAACACAAATACCGGTCTCAGTCAAAAATAAAGTAGTGATCTTAGTCAAAAATAGGATTTTTTGGTCGTGGATATAATTTTTTAGACTTATTTAAAAAAATATATATGAATAAATTGTTTCCTCTATTAAGTTTAATTTTAATAAAATATATTGTGTTTAAATATAAAATTCAAATAAAATCAAAACTATTTTACCTAAATAAACTCACTTAAATTATTCATTCTTGATGGACAGTTATATATCTAATCAAATATATCAATACTTCATTAGACTCTCTTACTATCTCTTCTCTATTTTCTTTCCTTCTCGCTCTCTTTCCCCGTTACTTTCAACATCTCTCCCCTATTTTTCTCTCTATATCTATCATTGATAATTTATTTTCTTTTCAAATATGTAAAGATTTTATTTATTTTTTCATCTTTCTCCCCTATTTTCTCTCTCACCCCCTATTTTTTTTAACCATTTCTCTCTCTATTTATATCAACATTACAATAACACAATTACACTAATCAGTTACACCAAAAAGTTACAATTGTCTTATAATACATCAAACAGTTATTTATGCATTCTAATAAACCAAATAGTTACACCAAACAATAACACAAATTTATAACACCAACTCAATTTGTCATTCAATTATTTACATAAACTAAATAGTTATAATATTTAGTATCGCGACATCGTTATACTAATCATATATACCAAATTTAGTATAATAGTAAAGTCTTTTATGTAATGATAAACTCAATTTGGTGTATATAATTGATATAATTATGTCGTGATACTAAATAATGTAACTCTTTAATTTATGTAAATAACTAAATGACAAATTTGATTGATGTTGTAATTTCGTATAATTATTTAGTATAATTGTTTAGTTTATTATAACATATGAATAACTGTTTAGTGTATTATAGGTAATTATAACTAATTTGTGTAACTGATTAGTGTAATTGTGTTGTATAATGTTGATATAAGGAGATAGAAAAAGGAAGAGAGTAAGGAAATAAGAGGAGAGGGAGTGAAAGAGAGAAAAAAATAGGGGGAGAGAGGGGGAAAAATAGGGGGAGATAAATAAAAAAATTAAATCAAATCTTTATATATTTTTAAAAAAATATCAATACGAGAGAAAAGAGAGAGAAAATAGGGAAGAGGGAGTGAAAGAGTAATGGAGAGAGAGGATGGAGAGTAACGGAGTAATAAATATTCTTTTAGTCCTTTTTATTTTTTAAAAATACACTTAAAGCCAAATAATTTTTTTTAATACAGTTTAGTTCAAATAAGTCTAAATTTTTGTACTGACTTCTAAATTACCCTCAAAAATATTAGATGAGGTCCAATACAATATAGTATAATAATATAGATACAACTAAAAAAAATATTAATATTATTTATATAAAAATATTTTTTTTAAGATCGAAAAATGTTAATTTAATTTTTGCATTTAAGTTTTGCATGTAAAAAAATTATTAATTGAATTTAAATTTATACACAAAACCATATTTAGTCTGTAATCAGTTCAAAATATAGTGAAAAAAGAATTAAAATTTATTAGTGTAGAAAAATTATTTTTCAAAGAATTAATATTAGTAGGATTTCAAATAATAAGTTATTATTGCTCATTCTGTTTTTTTAGCTATTTTATGTGTGTTTTAGTTTTTAGATTTTTCTTATTTTTAAGTTTTTATATTCTGATGATTGTGTATAATATATAATCAAAATAAATACAAATGATCAAAAAAGATCTATGATTAAAAAACGAAAGCCTCAAAAAACGTTTTGATCCATTACACTTACCATTAGAGTCATTGCCAAATGGGCCCAAAATAAGACATCAATCATTGTTGCAGCTTGTCTGGCTTGATAACTATTGATTGGAATATATTTAATTGTAATAAAAATATTTATAAAAATGATAAATTTTTTAATTATAAAATAATTCACAAAAATTATAAAAATATCAATTAAAATGATAAAAGTTAAAGGCACAGTGCTGAATTTATTTTTTCGGTATCGCAATGAAATTCAAAACAAAGTTATGAAACAATAAAATTTTTATCAGTGTTATTTTAAAAAATTAATATTTGATATTCAAATTCTCTCTATCTTGATCAAAGTTAGGCTCACTTGATTGGACTATTTTCAAGTAAGTTTGAAAATATGAAATTTGAACTTTGGATTTTGTGAGCTGATTTCTAGATGGGTTTAGACCATTCAACATCAAATTTTCTTATTGGGCCCAAGTTTTATAATATTTTTTTTTATACTGACTTAGAATATTATGAGTTCTGTGTTTAGGCCTCAACTATGCCATAGACATGAAATATGAGGACTCTTTTATAACAGGGTCTAAAACCCACTTTTTTTGCCTCCCTATGAGGTCAGCCATGGTCATGTTTAATAGATTTGTATCTAAGGCTAAGTTCAAGTTCGTTGATTTTATACCGATCTTTAATTGGATTCGCCTCCATTCTTGAAATTGCCTAACCTAGTAAAAATTAGAGGCCCTAAAATTTTGTTGAGCTATTCTAATTTTTTTTAGAGGCCCCAAATATTGGTATTAATTCAGGACCCTAGGCGGCGGCCTTAATCTAGTACATTGCATTGTCTTTAAATTGGTTACACATATTCTATTTCCTGTCCCTAAAATAGAAAATTTTGCAGTGGAGGTATGGAGCAACTGAAGATAGAAATAAACCAAGAAAAACACATTTTATTACCAATATGTAATGGAACAATTACATTACACCATTAAGAAATAATTTATTGCATCTTAATGCTCTGTTTGGTAAAGAGGATGAAAAGTCGGGATGATAGAAAGTAAGAGGAATATACTTTTTATCCTTTAAGGATGGAAAGTATGATGGATATATTTTCCTTCTTTTGTGTTTAGTTGGATGAATGAAAAATAAAAATGACTATTTTTTTTTTTTGTGCTGGCTCAGATTAGGGGCGACAATTGAGTCAAGTCGTGTCATGTCAGATTCGTGTTGAATCATTACAAGTTTGTGTCGAGTATTAGTTAAACCTAACTTAATTCATTTAACTAATTGTGTTATATCGAGTTGCAAGTTGACCTGTTTATTTTCGTATCGAGTTCGAGTCGTGTTATCGTATTGAGTCGAAAATTTTTACCCTTAATTAAGATGGAAAAAATATTTTTTTTAATTTAAAATATTTTTTTATTTTTTTTAATGTTTTAATTTTTAATTTTTTTTATTTTTTAAAAAAAAAATTTAAAATTTTTTAAAATATATATACATATTTTACCATTGTATTTTTATATGAAATTAATGTACACATAATATATATAGACAAATAAGATACATGTCAACACAAATAATTAACTTTTCATTCACTTTCCTTCCGATTTTGGAGGGATTGATTTTGGTGAGTTAAAAAAAAAGTTAATTCATCCATTTTTCCACCCTTCCTACTTTCCTTCCTTACCAAACATAATGTTTTATTTATTTTTCCAACTTTTCATTTTTTTCAATTTTTCATTCTCCCACTTTTCCATTGTACCAAACCGAACATAAGAAAATTTATTTATTTATCCCGTAGGGCCAGATTATATGTTATATGTTGCCACAGGGTAAAAGGTACAAATTACATCCATTCAAGAGTGAATTTGTTCATCTTTGTTCTACAACTCCAACCACAAGGCTACCCTGTATTCTTCAAGAAAGGGCAGCTTGAAGAAATCTCAATTTTTGAATCATCAGAGCTTGTTATTCCCTTCATGAGACCTGCAAGTAGTTCTCCACGATCGTAAAAAAACTCCACCTTCACGACCCTCGAATGCTCATCCAACTATGTTAGACAAGACAAATTCCATTATATTATTAATCATGTTGTGTTCTGATCACAGTGAAAAAATAAAAGAACAAGGAAAAAGAAATTTTCCTAGAAAATACCTCGAAAATGGCAATTCCATAAAATTCTACCCTTTCTCCGGTAGGGGCATGTCCTTTAAAAGGACCCTCCATGTAACCCCAGTGCCTAAACTTGTACACAATAACCGGTGGGCCGGTATAGACTCGGAGAATCTCCAAAGCAAAACCACGGGGAAACGTGGTCGTGAAGGCCCTGTGGGATGATTCCGCTGTTTCCTCATCTGGGTTGTAGAATCTCAAGTTCTCCGGCAATGATGTTTGCAGGAAAGCGTTGTAGCTTCCCCCAATCTTACGCATTTCTTCCAGTGTTAAAGCTTTTTTTCCTGGAAAATATAATCCAGGTTAAATTACTTACAAACGAAACCAGTTTTTGGCACAAGAAATTCACGGGAGGCTCGTGCACCAGGCCGCAAAAAGAATTAGCAGAGAAAGATTTTATTCTTTGTCCTTACCATTTGTACTAAACCTAAACTTCTCTGGATCACATGTTTTATATTCATCAGGATTTGCCTTGTGGAACATTTCCATCTCCCATGTCTTCACAAGGTTCTGCACTTTCTCTTCTAGTGAACCTTTTGACCATATCTATAATACAGATAGCAATAGGTTAAATAGACCAAATTGATATAAGAATATCACACAACATTAATGTAAAAATATAACTAACACAACTCTCATTGATTGATTCAGTAGCTGTGCAATAGAAGAGGCATAAACTCGCATGTTTTGAGTTCCAAGTCTCGCCGACCGGATAAAACTCGACTTAGTTCAATTTATACAAGTGGTTTTTGAGTGATTGTGTGCACCCGAAATTTGATAATCAAGAGTCCAAAAATATGTGGTTGAAATTATTTTTCTCGCAAGCTTCGAAATGTTTTGTATGATAGATTGATCTGATATGTTTATGAACTTAATTAGAACACAAAAGCATAGAAACAGGACAGAAAGAGAGTGGTATTGAATACGTTAGTTCTGCCTTCTTCGAAGAGCTTGTTGACGACATCATAGTTAGGAGGAGCACCAAACCTCCAGTGGGTGTTCTTCACCTCCTCTTCTGTCGGGTTAGATCTGTACTCGTCTTTCTCTGCACCTATAGATGCCATGTTCTAAGAAAGCAAGAGCATAAACGTTCAACCTGTAATTTTTGAACCGAATGGTCCCTATATATAAGCACAATGGTTAGGATGTTCCTTTTTGAATTCGAGTTGAATGTTTTGTTTATTAGTTTCCAATTGGTAACCACTTCTACCTAANATTAGAGAACAAATAATGTCAAGCAGCCCCTCACAAGTTTAAATTTAGGCTGCTATGTCATGATTTGTGTTCAAAAGTCTTAGATGGAGGATTGGCATGGTGATTCTTGGTGGCTCCTATTGATCTGCAACTACCACCCCATTTCAAATTAGAGAACAAATAATGTCAAGCAGCCCCTCACAAGTTTAAATTTAGGCTGCTATGTCATGATTTGTGTTCAAAAGTCTTAGATGGAGGATTGGCATGGTGATTCTTGGTGGCTCCTATTGATCTGCAACTACCACCCCATTTCAAATTAGAGAACAAATAATGTCAAGCAGCCCCTCACAAGTTTAAATTTAGGCTGCTATGTCATGATTTGTGTTCAAAAGTCTTAGATGGAGGATTGGCATGGTGATTCTTGGTGGCTCCTATTGATCTGCAACTACCACCCCATTTCAAATTAGAGAACAAATAATGTCAAGCAGCCCCTCACAAGTTTAAATTTAGGCTGCTATGTCATGATTTGTGTTCAAAAGTCTTAGATGGAGGATTGGCATGGTGATTCTTGGTGGCTCCTATTGATCTGCAACTACCACCCCATTTCAAATTAGAGAACAAATAATGTCAAGCAGCCCCTCACAAGTTTAAATTTAGGCTGCTATGTCATGATTTGTGTTCAAAAGTCTTAGATGGAGGATTGGCATGGTGATTCTTGGTGGCTCCTATTGATCTGCAACTACCACCCCATTTCAAATTAGAGAACAAATAATGTCAAGCAGCCCCTCACAAGTTTAAATTTAGGCTGCTATGTCATGATTTGTGTTCAAAAGTCTTAGATGGAGGATTGGCATGGTGATTCTTGGTGGCTCCTATTGATCTGCAACTACCACCCCATTTCAAATTAGAGAACAAATAATGTCAAGCAGCCCCTCACAAGTTTAAATTTAGGCTGCTATGTCATGATTTGTGTTCAAAAGTCTTAGATGGAGGATTGGCATGGTGATTCTTGGTGGCTCCTATTGATCTGCAACTACCACCCCATTTCAAATTAGAGAACAAATAATGTCAAGCAGCCCCTCACAAGTTTAAATTTAGGCTGCTATGTCATGATTTGTGTTCAAAAGTCTTAGATGGAGGATTGGCATGGTGATTCTTGGTGGCTCCTATTGATCTGCAACTACCACCCCATTTCAAATTAGAGAACAAATAATGTCAAGCAGCCCCTCACAAGTTTAAATTTAGGCTGCTATGTCATGATTTGTGTTCAAAAGTCTTAGATGGAGGATTGGCATGGTGATTCTTGGTGGCTCCTATTGATCTGCAACTACCACCCCATTTCAAATTAGAGAACAAATAATGTCAAGCAGCCCCTCACAAGTTTAAATTTAGGCTGCTATGTCATGATTTGTGTTCAAAAGTCTTAGATGGAGGATTGGCATGGTGATTCTTGGTGGCTCCTATTGATCTGCAACTACCACCCCATTTCAAATTAGAGAACAAATAATGTCAAGCAGCCCCTCACAAGTTTAAATTTAGGCTGCTATGTCATGATTTGTGTTCAAAAGTCTTAGATGGAGGATTGGCATGGTGATTCTTGGTGGCTCCTATTGATCTGCAACTACCACCCCATTTCAAATTAGAGAACAAATAATGTCAAGCAGCCCCTCACAAGTTTAAATTTAGGCTGCTATGTCATGATTTGTGTTCAAAAGTCTTAGATGGAGGATTGACATGAGTTCTATTGGATGCAAACTCTGAAAAGTCTTCTTCACGTGGAAGACTTGTACTTTTCAAACACTACAATATCATTTTGATACATTCTATTTGGCAGCGTTTTATTTTATTTGTGACTTTGATTCATAACAAACTGTTATAACCCATGTTTATATATATATACTAGTTATAACTCGTATACGAAGGCACAATAAAATATAAGACTCTAGCATTCAAAAAATTAATTCTACTATATAAAATTTAAAATTAATTTCTTTACTTACATCATTTAAAATAAATTTCTACCTATTATTTTTTTAAAAAAATTGCGTCAAAATTTTCTTAAAATGTATAATTCGACAAAATTTGTTCAACATATGCACACTATTGTGTATGGATAATATATGAAATAAAAGTTGTATTAAACTACAAATTAACCAAATATTAAATGATTGAATATATGATAAAATTGGCTGATATTATGTTTTTTATGAAAAAAATATATAGGTGATAAAGATTCAACTTGCTACTGATTTATTTTATATATATTATGGTGGCGACTTCAACTATAATCCGAGAGGAAAAATCTTCAGTATCATACCGAAAATTACATCTATTAAATGTCAAGTGACACCTATTTATACTCAACCACAACATATCATGTGATTGATCATAATTTCTTGAATTATAACTTAAAACTCTCAAAAGATTGTGACTTCGTTGTAAGTTCCAATACAAAATTCACTTTTACATTGGAGTTGTCCTCCCCATCATTGGGTGAAAATATTCATTATAATGACGATAGCATATGATAAGGTGATGTGATATCATCAATTAATAGTATTAAAATAAATAAATAAATGGAGCTTACAAAAATTAATAATTAACCTACCACGTAAACAACTAACTCTTCATTCTTCTTCTATGTAAGTCTAAGCAAGATTCACCTTATCCATTTGAAATTTTGTTATTGGTTAGTAATATCATGTCATAAATTGTAACATAGTATCACTGTTGCATTCAATATTTATTACATCCTTTGATAGTTATATCATGTCACCATAATGACATGGTGTAACCGTTTCACTCAATATTTTTTTCTAAAATTAGAAGGTTACCATGTTGCAAAAATCATGGATGGAAACAATTTTAGCGGGAGCAATGCTATGCTAACTAAATTGTTTACCAAATTTTGGATCATAAATCAATATGAGTGGTTAGATTAGTGGGGGTCCACTAACTCCACAAAATATTCAATGTATGAAATTTTGACACATCACTTGATATACAAAATTTGATAAATAAATTTGAACATTAAAGTTTTATCCTGTTAGCCAACAGCGAAGATTAAGTAAAACGAAGTTTGAATCCAAAAAANATTAGTGGGGGTCCACTAACTCCACAAAATATTCAATGTATGAAATTTTGACACATGACTTGATATACAAAATTTGATAAATAAATTTGAACATTAAAGTTTTATCCTGTTAGCCGACAGCGAAGATTAAGTAAAACGAAGTTTGAATCCAAAAGACAAAAAATGGTTCAGATCGTTTTGAGATAAAGTATAAACAAATCTAACGGATAACACAATCCCAACATAAAAAACGATTCAGATCATTTCAAAAATTTTAATCTAACAGTATACAATTAGTCCCGAACTTTGTTTTCCCGCCCAACAAGATTTCCTCGCTAACGCCTCTCTCTCTCCCAATCTCTCACAGCTCATCTTTCTCCCAACTCTAGACTTATNAGATCATTTCAAAAATTTTAATCTAACAGTATACAATTAGTCCCGAACTTTGTTTTTCCGCCCAACAAGATTTCCTCGCTAACGCCTCTCTCTCTCCCAATCTCTCACAGCTCATCTTTCTCCCAACTCTAGACTTATATTCCTGATCTACCTCTCTCTCACTCATACCATGTCTCTCTCTCTCTCGCTCAGTCTCCTCTCTCAGTAACACTTCTTCTTTTCTTTCTCTCTCTCTACATAGAAAACACACATAACTCCAAAAAATCACACACAACCAGTGCAGCAGTCAAGCTCTGACGCCACCAATATTCAAGGTATCTTTCTCTCTCTCTCACTTCGTCTCTTTCTCTCCTCCCCAACTGCCCACTCCCACTCACACCAAACCCCCCAATGTGCATAAACCTTTCCCTCTTCCTCTTTCCGACAGCCTACAACACCCACCCCCACCTAACCCGCGCCCTAAACGCACATAACCAACCTCCTCCAACCACCACCAAATCCCCCACAACCCCCCATCCCCTACTCTCCTATACACACAGAAGACAAACACAAACCCACACATACAACATTCACACACACACACCATATCCCCCCAANACCTAACCCGCGCCCTAAACGCACATAACCAACCTCCTCCAACCACCACCAAATCCCCCACAACCCCCCATCCCCTACTCTCCTATACACACAGAAGACAAACACAAACCCACACATACAACATTCACACACACACACCATATCCCCCTAACACACACACACACTAATTTTTGTTTGCAGTTGTATTCCGATTCCAATTCCCAAGAGTTTGCTCTTTTTTTAGTTTGAGTATGCTTACAATTTTGTTGATTTGAAATTTTTGGCCTTGTTCGAAAGATGTTTGAAAAAATGACTGATAGGGATTTGCTTTCTATTTCCGTAGGTAATGGGTTGTTTGATTTTTGCAACTATTCATTCCTTGGATTTTGATTGTTCTTTCAAACTAATGTTGATATTTNTAAATTTCGAGCACCATCAGGTACGAATCTGAATTTATTTTTTTGGTACTGTAATAAAATTCAAAACAAAATTATGAAACAATAAAATTTTTTATCAGTGTTATTTTAAAAAATTAATATTTGATATTCTAATTCTCTCTTTAACAAAGTTAGACTCACTGTTTTTGAAAGTAAAGTTAGACTCACTTGAGTGGACTATTTTCAAGTTNTGAAAGAAATTGTTTTTGGTCTATATCATTGAGATTTGATATATTATATTTGTTTTATTGTGGAATTTGTATTGCATTTTTGCGAGTTTGAGATTTCACTGATATTTTGGTCTACATCAATGTTATATTTGAAACTATTTGTTAATTGGTTGTGAAAGAAGGTTTGTTTGGTCTATATCACTATTATATTATCAATATAGACTATTAATTGTTCTACCCACCTCACCAAATCCTCATCAACCATTACCAGCTCCTCTTTTTTGTAGGTTGTGGAAT